TTTTCATGGTGTCTGCCTGTCTGTCTGTCCGTCTGTCTGTAACACGATAACTCAAAAACCGCTAAACCGATTTTAACCAAATTTGGCACAAAAATACTGTGGCACCCGAGAATCTGGCCGTTTTTGGTGGTGGTGTGGGGTTGGTAAGGGGGTATGGGAGGGGGTTAAAAATTTTAAAAAATCGTAACTCCTAAATTACATTAGCTAGCGAAACGCGGTTTTCAATTTAAGATTAGGAATAATATTTGCAACAAAATTTGTAATAACATCAAAATCAATCAAAGTCGCAGTCTTTGAGATAAAAAAAATTGAAAAATTCCTTTACTTTTTAAAAGAACTGCCTACCAACTTTTTATTAACATATTTTAGTATGGGCGGCTATACGTGCCTCCCGGCGCCAATTTTTTTAAATCAATTTTCTGTTTAAAGTCCTATCCTAAATGGCGAAATCTTCGTAACTCTGCCCGATATCGATAATATTAACATTTCTATGGCGCGTGTCGTTTTTCCACATCGGTCACCGATATATTTTATACTGTAAACTTTACCGATGCCCCTATTTCCCCCCCAAAAAAATCCCCCGCTTAAATCAAAGAGATTTTTTTGGAAATATTCCTGACTGTCTTAAGTCGAGAATAAAATTAGTACCATCAAATATTCAAAGTACAAAGTACTTAATGCAGAACAAAATGTCGGTAGAAATTTGGAATGAACTAGAAGGTAAATTAGGGAAGGCAGAAGTTAGCTGAATCAACATTCAGCTGTTTTAAAAAAGATATAAAACAGCCTTAACATCAACATATTATTTTTAGACGTTGTTTATAGTCCTGGAGATTAAAAATATAACCTGGCATCAGAGGAAACTAGTTCTGCATTAGAGTTTGCGAATCACACGGATAACACGAAGGATCACACACAAGGATTCATACGAAATAACTATAAAAATCGCTCTAACATTTTAATAGATGAATAGATATTAAGTTATATGTTACTATATCTTTTGCAATTATTCAATTATTTTTCGATGTATTAAAAAGTATTTAAACGTTACAACAGCAAGTGTAACTTTGTATTTGATGAATAAAAATAGAGTATATTTGTTAAAGGAATACTTTTATATTTTTATAGCTTTATAGGAAAAGTTTTTATAACTTTTAAAGTAATTTTTTGATTTATCATACGTTTGTAAACAAACTGATTTTTTTATTTAAATCCATGATTAAAATAAAAAAAAATCCGTTGATTTAAATCACGATTTAAATCTTGATTTAAATCAAGTTGATTTAAATTATTTCACCTTGTTTAAGACATAATCTCTATAGAAAGGTGATATCTTGTTCTTCTTGTTTCACACATGAAACACTTTTTAATTTCTGTACTAATTGTCCAGATCCTTTGGCAAATACATTAATTTTCTATTAATAATTTTGATTATTAGTGCGCGATTTTCTTTCGTTTTTGAGGCTTAACCGAGCCTATGAGGGTCCAGAAACCGCTGTTGCCAAGTAGTCTCATTTTTTCGATTGGATTTGCTTGTCGGATGTCATTAATTATCGATTCATTTTCGACATATTAAACTCATTAAAATTAAAAGGCTTAAAGGTATTTAAATTTTAATGTAACGGTAGCTGTCACACGTTTAATCATTCAGCGTTTTGCAGGTGGTTTTACTTATTTTTTTCCTGTCCTGGCGGCGTCAGATAGGTGGTTTAAGACGAGGATGTAGTCGCTGGTTACATGTTGATTATCTTTTGATACAACATGTAGATAAATTAAATAATTACAGCTTAATGAAATTGAACGTTTTCTGTAGCAATAAAAAATGAATTGAAATTGAAATGCTTCTGCAATCTCACAAGCAAAGCTTAATCAGTTTTTTCAAAATTGATTTTTCAGAAAATTTATAGCCTCTTAAAAAAATCAATTAAAAACAAATAAAAATTACCAGGGAATAGGCAAACGTTTTTACATAAAGTTACGCGTGTTGTGCGATAAATACAAGTTAATCAGTTCACATTTTAGTGCATAAGAAGAAAACTATAACATAAGTTCAAAAATATGGTTCTTTATAAAAATGCAGGTTGTTTATATTTATAAAAAAAGATACTGTTACGTTTTTCGTCGGTTCCGTGTGGATAGAAAGTCACAATTTATTTAAACACAATTTATTTAAATACTAATTAACAAAAACAATAACGATAAAAGACTTATAGAACTATTTACAAACGATTTATAACTATTTATCTAGAAAGAATTTATTTTGAATTTTAGCGCGTCAACTGCACTCGTCTATTTATGTCTGCCCTCTTTAGGCTCCAGCCGCCGGTTTTTATACCCACAGCTAAAGTTTTCTCGAATAGTCCATAGATCGTTAGGTGCATAGGGAAGGTTTCGATTGTTCTCGTATGTACTACTCCATTCTAGTAGAACTCGATTCTTTTCGAAACTTCGAATGAATTATTACGGTGTCTATTTTTAATGCGATGTTAAGGCCATCTGAGGGCGGGACATATAGTTAGGTTAGGTCGAGTCCACACGGGTCCGCAACAATACAGTATTTTCACAGTAGCTGCTTTTCTTGCCAAGCTCTGTACAGATGTAGGCAACCCCTCGCATGTACGAGTAATGTATAGATCATACCAAATAAACATTTAATCGCGTGATTACCCAAGTAGTATTTTTAGACACAAAATCGAAACAAATTTTCTGCTGAGAAACATTTAGAAACAGTTTCGTCATATTTTTGATACATAGGTTTCTTAACATAAATTGCTTTCTGTTTCGAAACATTTTACTAAAATATGGTTTCGCTACATAAGCTATAACAATAAAGATGTTAATGTTACAAATTTTTCGAAACATTTAAGAAACAGATGTGGCTCACATTTACAGATTTCGTACCCGTTTGGTGCCTAAAAAGTTTCCATAATTTATTTGATATTCTGTCAAATATGAGAACATAACCTTACTTTATTGTTTGGATTTTGTTCTGCAGATTTTGCATTTAAGCATTCTTCAAGTTTTTGTAGTACTATAATTAAAAATGCAGAAGGAGGGACATATGGTATGGTTTCGTATGCGATTTTATAATTATTTATTATACGCATTAAGTACAGAGATGATTTGTTTTAGGAACAAATGTAATAACAGCCATTACCCATACCAAACAGGAGACGTTTTTTCCTATTTTTTCCACAATGGAACACATGTTTTATGTTCTAATTGTGTTATAATAAGTAAATAAAAATGTTTTAATTATTTTGACGAGAAGTTTTGATTGGCGTTGTTGACAGGTTACTAGTTCGTAATTTCTACACAGATAGCGCTAAATCGAAACATTTTTGAAAGAAGGTTTTTGTCGATTAATTTTCGAAACACGAGTTTTCTCTTTTTAGAAACAAATATGATAAAATATAGATGATTTGAATCCGACTCCTTGTCAGTTTTCTAAAATATTGAATTAAAATTCCGCCATGTTGGCTAGTGATAGCGTTTTTAACTAAAATATATGTTTTTATCAGCTGTTGAACTTTTAAACTCATAAGAACGCGTTCTACTTACATTGATTTATATATTTTTATTTTCAGAACCATGATATAGAAATAAAAGTAAAAACCTATATTTCAAACAAAAATATTTTGGAGCAACAAATAATGATAATATATAGAAGGGGCATTAAAAATATGAAAGTATATTATTAAATTAAACGATGAATTTGCTTTTGCCAGACATTTTTTGTACGAGAAAACCTAAAAACAAATATTTTATGAAAAAAAAATTATGGCGGAGGTCGACATTGTTGATGGTTGTTTTCATTTTGAAATCTACACACAGCGACATAGACTATTTTAGTTTGGTATTTTGTTTTTTCACATTTAGAAACAATGGCTGCTAAAAACGGGAACATCTTGGACACAAATTGCAGAAAATGTTTCGAAGCATTTCCTCTAAAGGTTTAGATTCCGCATCGAAACATTTCAGGAAACGGCTAGTGCCACCACATTGGAAACACATGAAATATATAAAATATATGGGTTTTGAAAATGTTTCTTATTTATGACATACCGTTTCCATTTTGTATCCAGAAACAGACACAATTATAAATAATTGTAATGTTTCTATTATATTATTAGAAACATTACCTAAAATGTATCCAAAAATGCATTTGTATTATACAGAATTGTATTAGTTATTTTTTAGACTTTATTGTATCGTAACCCAACAAATTGGTCATTAATTTAATACGAGGTCCTAGCCGAATATTTTTTATGGAAAATTAAACTATGTAAATAATTTTTAAACGAGTTAATATGCTAAAATCTGTTATATTCCTAAAATATAATAAATCCAAAAGCCATTGTTTACGCCCACGCTTATTTTTGCAGTTTAAACGAAACAAAATTACCGCCATTCCGATTCCGGCTACGCTCTGTTATCCGATACCGAAAACGTTAGCGGCAAACCCATTAAAAAATCGATTATGTCCTTTTTATAGGCCAAAATACGTGCTCGTATTCACACACAAACATACCCAACGCTCGAACGTTATTAAATTTACTTAAAATACAAACAAAATGTATGAAATATTAGCCGCGGTAATGTCATGACGGTCGACTATGCGGCGAGCGACCGTAACCTCTACGGTGAGACGACGCAAAGTCGATCGTGTCGGTGTGATATACCCGAGCGCAGTTAAAGTATCGGGAAACATTTTAAAGCCGTTTTACGACGTGCGTCGTAAATCGCAATTTTACGCGCCTAGTTCGAGAATATAACCGGGCCTCTGCGTTAGAATTTAATAAATAATATATGTAGTTCCGAACGTGCAAATTATAATACATTGAGGCAAACGTGCCGACTACAAAACGAAACGTTCCACCGTAAAACAGTTGTTCTGCGCGTTTCAATATAAAAAAACAATTATTTCAGTCTCATTCTAGTATCATAGAAGTGATTTAAACAAAAATAGTATTAAATGGTTAATTATAGAGAAAAATTACCTGTGCAGATCTGTTTTAGTGCTTCTTCATGATCCTCTTTGGCGTATTTGTAGATAACATACACCAAAAGTACCATCCGGAAATGGTGTTGGAACCTGTCCTTAATCTTTGCGCACAAACCAAGAAGATTGCTTGCTGACTGACCAGCTACCTGACCTGAACAAAATAAACCAAAAAAAAATATTATATTTAACAATTTCATTAAATTACTACCTACTTGTAACTATTATCTCTCTACAATCTATACTTATTGCAACAAAACTAAACGAAAATTAAAGTTTTATTCTCAACTTGCTTAACAGACATAGGTATTAAATTTTACTAATTATTACTTTTTGTCATGGCAACTGATACAAAGTATGACGTTGTTATAGCGATAGTGTATTAAAAATATAGGCAAAATAGATAAAATTGGAATAAATCGCTAACTATTAAAAAAAATATATATATATATATATATATATATATATATATATATATATATATATATATATATATATATATATATATATATATATATATATATATATATATATATATATATATATAACTTTGTATACTTCGTATATAACTATTAAAAATATGTATATGACATACTTGATAAAAGTTTAGGAATTTTGGAAAATCTGTCAGAAACAATGATACTATATAGGTTGTACCATTTAAAAAAATTGAGATTTTTTAATTTTAAGTAGTTGAAATTCATAAATATATTTTGAACACCCTGTAGCATCTAATTAAAATATATATATATATATATATATATATATATATATATATATATATATATATATATATATATATATATATATATATATATATAGATATTTATATATCCTACCAAGTAATCTAATTTATGCATAAACAATGGCATCACTAAAAACGTTTGTTTAAACAAATTCAAATATTACATAAACTATTAATTTTAGGTATATAACGTTATATAAAAAAAAGTTATAGAATTTTACGCAGAATCCAAAAATAAATTAAAAATAGGTTAGGTATATCCCGTAGAAATTCATAAATATATTTTTAACCTGTAGCATCTAATTAAAATAAACCCGACGTCGGGTACCAACGTCGGTTCGGCCACCTGACGACCCTTATTTGCACCTAAATGGGGAATACAGATTCGGGTCGCATCGACATCGGTATCTGACCTAATAGGGAATGTAATTCTACCAATTACCAACGTCATATTACGTTGGATTTTAGTCACTTAAAATTGGTCGCTAAGCACTTACGTTACGTTTGGTTTCATATTCGCTACCAAGAATACATAAAAACCTAACCAAACTACCTAATTACAAATGGATTCATAATCACTCCTCGAATATAAGTGCCTATCGAGTATAAGTGCCTATTTAATTTCATATTATAATAATTCTGAATCATTAATCCAGACATCAGTTTTGTCAACGGAAGCCACTTTCTTGATATATCTGATTAAAATACTCCGGAAAACAACGAGCGCCTTCAAAATTAGGTTGATTTATGAAATAAATATATCTATAAAAAAGTAACTCGCAAAATATTTTTTTAATTTTCTAGCTGGTTTAATCATAAAACTGTACTGTGGTTCTCCCAAAACTCAATCTTATCAATATTATTCTACTAGAAATCGAAATGTGAATATAAATTTTAAAAACAAAAAACGATTTTAAAATGGCTGACAATGGGATACGTGTTAAGAATGGCGGATTTCTGTGTCCGACTTAATATGAACTACCTATATACCAATTCCGACCGGGTCTCCAACATTAGTCGTCTCACACGATCGAAGTCATCAAACCGGACGACCGGCAATCGTATTATGACGTATATAATTCCAACGTACGCCACGGAACCTCACTTTGCGTTTTGCGTATCAGTGATTTGTGGATTTGTGTAACTATATTTTAGTTTTTGTTTTCTCGTTAAAAAAATGGGCAGCCACTTTTTTAAGCCTAACCTCACATGTCGGAGGAGGATGGGGTCTGCTTGTATCCTAAGCTAAAAAATAAAATTAAGATGCACCAGTGTAATTCAGCATCTCTTCCGGATAAAAAGCATTTACGGGTGGAGGCAAGACATCACTACTACTATTATTATTTTGCAAATGCCTCGACCTCTTTCTGTAAAATGTAGATGAATGTCTAAATGCCTTTTTAGTGTTTTTTAGGCATAATAAAAAATTTAAGTTTGTTTACAAAAACTGTTCATTAGGTCGCAAATGCTACTTAATGGGTTGTATTTACGGACATAAATAGAGATACGTAAATTAGGTTATAAATATGAACATAAAATACAACAAAATATAATTGGACGTTAGTTTAGGGATTATCAGTGAGACGTATCCTATTCGGACAACGGGTAGACGTCGGGCTAGTTCAAGTATATGTACGTCGTGCAAGCCAACGTGGGAACGACGTTGGGAAATTTATAAAAATGGTACGTTGTTATTTTGTACGTTGTTATCCAACGACGTCGCTTTTAATAGGAAAGCGACGTCACCGGTCGTATCACCAGCACCCGACCTAAATTTGCACAAAGTCTGACGTCGCTTCAGGTCAGATTTAGTTCGAAGTCAGATAGATGCTACTTGGGATCCTAATACATATATAATAATATATAATGTTATATCCGCCACACTTTTTTGAAGCACTCTGTATGATACTCCGATACAATCAGATCCAAGATACTTTTGGAAAAGGTATTTGAAATACTTGATTGATATAAAATACGTATTTCTTAAATACTTTTATTAAAATAAAATACTTTTTTTTCAAACGTCACAATAGAATTAATTTTTGCGACGTGATTGACAATATAAAGTCATTTTAACACCTAGGCATAAAAGTACGAAAATATATTATTAAACTGACATAAACTGTCAAATTCAACGAGCGTAACCATAGTTTCTCGATATATAATTACATACAAGGTATGACTTAAATTAAATGAAGTAAAAATGACACTATTGGTGGCCAGGCTGTACGTTTGATATGCAGCCGACATAGATATACAGCCGATACACAAAAAGTCATTTTTACTCCCAATAGAACATGCTATTTTTTTCAAACGCGAAAAATAAGTTTTTTTTAATTATGATTTAGGCTATGATAATATAATTCCGATTTTATTCTTTGATAGATGGTTATTATTAATTTTGATTAACGTCATAATTTTTACTGTTGTTAAAGTATTACATTTTCGGATAACTATTATCACCCTTTCAGTAGCATGGAACTAAATAACTCTGTGCTTCTTTTTAAAACAACAAAAAATATGACGTTAATTAAAATTATATCAATAACAATCTATCAAGGAATGAAAACTAAATTATATTACCATAAAAACGCGTTTTCATTTTTAGGACTTAAAAATTTAACTACATTTTCATATATTTCTATATTTTCTTTTAAACGGTATGGAAATTTGGAGAAGTATAAACGGAATTAACCATTTTAGAACAAGCAAAAATTTTTGTAAAGAATGCATTTTTCTCAAAATGTCAATAATAAAAAAGTTTTTCCTCTTGTAAAGACAATTCGAGGACATATTGTATAATTAATAATTTATCATTAAAGCTGATACTAGTAACAGATTCACGTTATCACCTGCTGATGATGCCAAGTTAACCATGTTAGGAAAACGGTTGATTATTAATTTAGAAATTAAACGATTTGGTACATTATAAAAAATTAAACTCATTAATTAAAATAAATGAATATATTTAGAAAGCCTTCAAAACATCCTAACATAATAATATTTGCTTTTTTTTAATTGGGTGCATAAATATAAATCTTTATTTTCATTCATTAATTACACTTGAGTAATAAAAATGCACTTATTTATCAAAATCCGTGCGAAAAAATATTGAACTTAAACCCCAGGCCAGGCACGAGTAATTTTTAATTCAAATAAACACAAAGTGTGCTGGCAACTATTTATTTATGTATGCACTCGTATTTATAAATGCACTTCCAGCTCGTGAACCCGACATAGTTACAAATAAGGCACGTGTACGATTTTTCTACGTCATCTCAAGGTCACCAATAGCGTGTCTCGCTCATAGAAAACAGTTTTGATAACATCAGCGTTAGAAAAATTCGATATACGTTGAATTTTACGTAAGAAAAGCATGGAAACTCTATAAAAAGCTCGAAAAAGTTTATATCTAGGGTTTGCAGACTCTAAATCGGCGTCAAAAGGTGCAAGATCGATATGACTTGGCTCGGAGATGAGTCAAAGCTTATTTCCAATTCATTGACATCGCGGTGCTGTTTCCTAGTGACCTTAAACTTGGCCTTTGCAGTTGTGACGCGCCAGTATGCCGTGAATTGAATTATCTGTTCGTTTTTTTTTTAAATTAATCCTTACTAGGGATGGCCAATATAAAAAAATATCGATATATAACAAATTTTGATATACCGATTTGGTCATTTGGTCACGATTTTAACGTGTAAAACAGAGAAGAATATAAATGACCTTTGACAAACAAAGAGACAAAATCAAAAGCGTCATACAGTGTAGCCGGTTTTTACGTTTGTATAGGAAAATTTGTGTAGAAAAAACACACAACTAGGTATTGTAAAAACTTCCATATATACTACTGAAAAGAAGATAATATATCTAAGCTAAATACCGGGTGTTGCATCGTCGGACGGGACATAGGAAATCCTATGTAAATTTTAATGGGGTCAATTATTGGCTTCTCTAATTATTTTATAGAATAATTCTATTTATGTTTATTGAAGAGCACTAAAACCCACATTCAAAAGAATAACTTTAGATATTTTTGATTAGCTCGTTTACGAGTTATCGCCGATTTCTTTTTAAATATTTCTCCTTTCTTATGGCCCTGTATTTACTTATGAGCACCAGTCAAGGTAAAAGATAACTGTCAAATGAAGTTGTCATTTCAGAAATTTACCTATTTAGTGCTTTATTATTATTGAAAACTCATTCCTACATCGGAAATCTTAAAGATGTATTTATAAATACAAATTAATATGAATTAAAGTAAAATAAAGTAATCAATTACAAGGTTAATTATAATATTATTACAATATTCAATACCTTATTAATTTAGGTACTATTAAATTGTTAGAACTTTAGGATTTAAGAAGATGTTCAAATATTCCTCCATCCTGCTAGACAATAACCCAGGCGATCATAAAATTCTCTTCTTACATTCGCTAGTTGGTAAACTGAAATTCTATTGCATTCGGCAGAAATAGCATTTTTTAACTCGTCTAGATTTGGGTATTTTTTATCCTTGTATATATCCTGTTTTTTAAATGGCCCCAGAGAAGGAAATCATTTGGCGAAATATCAGGAGACCTTGCTGGCCAATTTACTGTATGATTTAGGCCAATAACGTTTCCGTTAAAACTATTGTCTAAATATTCCCGAACAGCCAGGGTACTATGTGCCGGGCAGCCATCCATTTGGTACCAAACTTCCTGATTTTCCCTAGCGGCATCATGTAAAGCGGGTAAAATATGATTTTCGAGTAGTTCCAAATAATATTCTGTATTTATATTTCGCGTAAGAAATAATGGCCCGATAATATTGTGTCCGAATATCCCTGCTCAAACAGTTACTTTCTGTGGATATTGCGTCCTTGTTTCGACAAACCTGTGTTGGTTTTCTTTGTTCCAATATCGATAATTTTGAACATTGGGTTCATTATTTAAAGTAAACGTGCATTCGTCAGTGAAACATATGTTTTTTAAAAATTCCCTATCCGTGTTTGCTCTTTCCATCATATCAAAAGAAAACGCCTGCCGCCGTATTTCGTCCCCATCTCCTAGCTCTTGGTGCTTTTCATATTTGAAGGAATAGTATTTATGTCGTTTCAAAATTCGAAACGCTGGCTGTAGTGTGATCTATTCCTATTTCATCCTCAAGTTTCCTTGTGCTGATCTTTCCATCGTTCTCTTCCACACACAATAAAACTTCCAAGTCGGTATCATTTCTTGCATCTTCTCTTTGTTCCTGCCTTGCTTCACATCTGCAGTTATTTATTAGGGTACCTTTGGTCTCAAATCTCAATATTCCTTGCGATTGTAGATTTTCCAGGTATCGGTCTATTCGGATACAGAGCAGCAAACATGTCCTACACCTTTTGATAACTATTTCCTTGATAATACCATTTAATCATCAATACTTTTTCTTCGGTAGAGTAATTCATGGCTAATATTTTCGATGTAGGTATGAGTTTTTAATAATAATAATAAAGCACTAAGTAGATAAATTTCTGAAATGACAACTTCATTTTACAGTTATCTTTTACCTTGACTGATGCTCATAAGTAAATACAGGGCCATAAGAAAGGAGAAATATTTAAAAAGAAATCGGCGATAACTCGTAAACAGGCTAATCAAAAATATCTAAAGTTATTCTTTTGAATGTGGGTTTTAGTGCTCTTCAATAAACCTAAATAGAATTATTCTCTAAAATAATTAGGGAAGCCAATAATTGACCCCATTAAATGCAACACCCGGTATAATATATTACATCTGTAGTAAAATGAATAACTAATTGTGAAAAATAAGGTTCCAACCGTAAATGCAACATTTTTCATAAACGCTTACTTTTGATGCAAAATCCGGCAACACCGCATATAAGAAATGTTTCAACCCAACTTTTATCTCTTTTTAATACATTTGATTTTCCATTAAGCTGCCTACATCACTGTCTTACACGTTAAAATCCAACTTCTGAAATGACCAAATCGGTATATTTTTGAAGTGAAACTTATTTGTGCGCGCTGGGAGTAAAAATTCAAGGCCGTGACACAACACACGAGAGGAAAAGTGGTAAGTACAGGGTGAGTCAACGATAGAGTTAACGATATGTCCATTATCTCATTTGTTTCGAGGTTTACAAAAAAAATGTTATATATAAAAATTATAGCGAAGGTTAAGATACACATTTTAAAATTATTACGGAGTATACAAAAAAGTGTGGCGGATATAACATGTTTTTTTTAAATACAACACCCTGTTTTTTATTTTATTTTTAGATTCTGCATAAAATTCCATTAGTTTTTTACATATAATGTTATATACCTAAAATTAATAGTTTTTGTAATATTTAAATTTGTTTAAACTAGGGATGTTTAAAAAATTGCAATGCGGTAAAAAATTGTCAGTGGTACCATTGTTTCTGAAGTTTAAGAATACCAAAATTTGGTATGAGAGTTCTATAGAGATGAAAAAAAAGATATATGTAGAGATATTTTAGTTAAATTTTACAGGGTTTTCAAAATATATTTATGAATTTCAACTGCTTAAAATTAAAAAATCTAAAATTTTTTAAATGGTACACCCTATATATTTTCGTTTTTTCTGATAGATTATGCAAAGCTCTTCAACTTTTATTAAGTATGCCATATACCTATTTTTAATAGTTTGCGATTTATTCCAATTTTTTCTATTTAAGAGCTCAAGCGCACTGATGACCAGGTCGCAGCGACCAGCATTTGATTTAATGGTATTACTGGTCGCAGCTTGGCTTTAATACGCGACCAGTAATGCCATTAAAGCAAACGCTGGTCGCTGCGACCTGGTTGTCAGTGCGTTTGAGCTCTTGCCGTAGTCTGTCCTTACCACTTTTCGTCTTGCGCCAGCTTGTATGTCACGGCATTGAATTTTTACGCCCTGTGCGCGTAAAGAAGTTTCACTTTAAAAATAAAAAAAAACAGATTTAATTGAAAAATTATAGTAAAAATAATGTCTTGATATTTCGATATTAAAAATCGATCTGATTGAACATCCTTAATCCTGGCTATTTTTGGGACCAACAGTTAAATTAAACGATTCCCATCAAGAAAATGTTGATTTACGGTAAATTCGGTACAAAGAAATATGCTCTACATACTTTTGTTTTGGCAACAAATAAGAAATATTTTTCTCATAGGTATGTACTTAGTAGAATAGATGGAATGTTGAAATGCGTCAAACCCCAGTTTGAAGGTTATTTAAATTTATTGAGAATATAATAGACCATAAAATCCACTATTTATGAAACATTCCTATAAATAATTCGTAATAAACTTGACAATAACTACTTTATATTTCATTTAATAAGAAAAAGTGGTAATAAAATTAGTGCAAATATTTTTAGGGATGGTCTCCTTTTTTAGACATGACAAGGAAGTTAACATTTTGAGAGCCGCAGATTTGTTTTTTCTTTGTTTTGTAAACACCTAGCTTACACGTGTTTCTTTCAAGATACTTTTTTAGTATGTGTGTGTGTCAGTATGGTTATACTGACCACACATACTAAAAAAATTATACCACAAAATTATATCTGCCAGTTTTTCTTATACGTAGATTAGTCATTAGATATTCACAAAAAAAACACAATTTTTGGATTTATTTTTCCCCAGAACATATTTTAAACATTATTTTTCAATTATATAGGTATGTACCGGGTGGCCAATTAAGAATGGACGCCTCCTGTATCTCAAAAACCACTTATCGTATAACATTAGAAAGAAATTGTAAAAAGTAAACTGGTCAAGAGAAATCACAGGAAATAAGTTCATCAAGTTTTCAAGTTCTGAAAATGTGGGGGCGCATCTATGATGGTCAATCAAAGAACAGGATTTTTCTCAAAAACATACAGGTGAACAGGTATTTTGAATATTACTATTATAATCAATGGGAAATTTGTAATGATTTTGATACAGCGTATTTTGCTCTATCCCAAAAAAGAAAGCAGTGGGGGAAGGTTAAACTTTGCTTTTATTAATATAATTGACTTAAACGAACTGGGGCTCTCATTTAAAAGAGCTTTCTTTCTCTAACCAATCTGCAGTAAAAACTTTTTGTCTACATGTTTAGATCAGCTAACCCAAACTAGAGTTATCTTAATCTTAATAAAAGCAAATTTAACCTTTCCCCACTACTTTATTTTATGAAATAGAGCATAATACGCTATACATATAAAAAAAATACAAATTTTCCATTGATTATAAAAGCAATATTTAAAATACCACTTAATACCGTTTTCTAAGCGGACATTTTTCGAACTTGAAAATAATTTTCACCGATTTCTCTTGAACTCTGCGATCTCTCTTGTTGAAATTGTCTTATTGCAACTTTTTCCCAAAGTTATACGATAAGTCGTTTCTGAGATACAGCCGGCGTCCATTATTAATTGGCCACCCGGTATATATCTAAAGTTGATGTATTGTGGAATATTTACCTTCTTCTATCCTTTGGGAAGCTTTCTTCCAGTCTCCTCGGGAATACTTCAAAATAACGTTGATTAGTGGCCTCATGTCTTTGAAGTAATTGAACTTATCCAGAAGTCGTTGACAGCCATCTGACAGATCGGTACATTCTTGGGCTGAAATCCAGAAATGAATTATATAAGTAAACCGAACAAAAATTTCATGAATTTCTACTAAGGGCTGGTAAAGGTACCTTTAGTCTTGGGTCAAGATTTCCGTATGTAAGAAGAGTACAATGTGTTTATAATGTACTGAACAAAGAGAGAAGAGTAAACACGTTGCCAAACGTATGAAATAAACCGAGAAACTGTGCACACTGCTAAGAGACGTGGAAGGAAATATAGCAGATTTGGTCACAGTCGACCGGTCGACCCAATCAGTACCTCTATCAGTACTTAAAGTTCTAGGAAAAGGTGTACGTCATACACGATTTAATTACGTCTCCTGATTCTTTATTTGTTTATTTATTAACGAGTCGTTGTAATTTTCTCTATAGCTTAAAATGTTTAAGTGCAAGTTAGAAACACTTGCATTTTTGGTAAAAATAAGTTAATTGAGTTGGTGTTTGACAGTGGTCGCGCTATTAGAACTCTGAAATCAAAAATCAATATCTGGAAAACTATTAGAAATAATTGATTGTAGCTTTTTTCAAAAACTTTCTTAACATTACTGCTATATTTTCTTCGCAGACAGTAGGTATGTGAAAATCTTTATAAATAAAAAACTTACACGATTGCTGAAAATTACTATGCACTAAAAGTAAATGAATGGGTTGTTTAAAATTTTTGAATGAAAAAAAAAAACAACCTTATTGAACATTTCTTATTTAAACATATTGTAAAAGATCCGATCTTCAAAATAAAAAAAAAGTTTCAATATCTAAAGTGGTTCTTAAGTTATGGCGTGTTATGTGTTAAGAAGTTGAGTTTTTAAATTATCGCGATTACTGACGTTTTCTCGTTATAAAAAAATGGTTACCCTAACGATATCCTTATAATTCCATTTCAGATGCTCAGAAACATATCTAATGATTTTATCTAGATATTTTTTCGAAAAAAAAAGTCTTTTAAAAATAAGCGGTTTGCGATCGTGATTTTAGTTTACCTGATAGGGAAAGGCGTACCGGCAACGCCGCAACAGCACACCGAGGCATTTCTCTCACTCCGACCTAATAAAATCCCTATGCTATTTGCTTCCACACATGTAAATACCGACTCAAAAGTAACAGTTGCCAACACGGTATACAGACTGGCGCCTAAATATGCGCAGATATTTTAAGTAATACAGTTCGACTCCAGAAACGCGCATAAAAATTTTTGAAAAAAAATATTGAAAATTTTACATTTTTGTGGATTTTATCGGGAATATGAAAAAAACTTTACAATACAGACGGTCGGTGTAGGGCGTCGAAGCCTTGCAATGTTGCCCAGTGGTGAAGCTATGAGGGGTGTTGGGGGGATGCTCCCCCCCCCCCCAATGTATAATTGAGTTGGGAAATTAGTCATGACAACGCGACGTCTAAATCCCAAATTAAAAATATTAAGGATGGTACGATTTTATTTTAATTTTAGAGTTGTCATAACAATAATTATTTATGCATGTTTTAATGGTCAGTAATGTTAAATTTAAGTTTTAAATTAATAAAACAATTTTTTTTAAACTAGGATTTTTATTCCTATCACGATACATTATTACATGCTTTAAATAAGAAGACTAAGGAAGGAGCATAATGCTATCCATGTATTCATGCATGGTGGGCGGAAAAAGGATTCGGGGATCCTTAACAGTTCTGTTTGACGATTCATTTGACACATTTGAATTTGATTTGAAATTTTGTGAATTTGTCAGTCTTTACGGAGCTTATTTTATGTTATTTATTATACTACTGATACTTGTATAAAGGTAGTAAATCTAGATGGAAATTGTGGCAGAACTTAAATTAACAGTGACACTATCGCGATTTATCGAAAAAGACTCTAAATTAGTTGGTTGTGTAGCGTGCGGTAGATCTCGGCAAAAATCGAGTGAAATAATGGAACAACTTTTCGCTAGTAAGTGACTATATAATATACATACGTGTAGTAAACCGATCATTTATGAAATTCACTTAAATTAACTAATTATATATTTTTCTTGCATTTTTGCTTTTATTTACTACTTGTCAAAGATTAGATGTCAAAGAATTTAGATACGTCAATTTGACTTACCTACTTCAGTAGCGTATCGGATGTTTGTGTTAATAAATAATTATTAAAACTTATCTATTTTTATTATAATAATATGTTTTTATAACAATTTTAATAACTCCCAACATTTATTCACAACGTAAAATAAAAAAAATATTGAGTCTACACCACGTCTACCCTACATCATAGTTTTAAATTTTTTAAATAAAATTAGAACGGCACTGATAAACCGGAATTTAAGTCGGCCATATTTGAGTCCCATCGCGGTGGACCCAAAGAATATACCTAGCTAGAAAAAGAATGGACTCTGCCATACTGAAAAATGGTCCTACAGAAGTGGCGCCATCTATTGAGTAGAGCTTGTTTTAAATGGATCGAAGCGCGGGCTTTTTAAATGAGCGTATTTATTGAATTTTACTCTAAAATATATAATTAAATTTTAACATTAAATCTTATTTTTTACACAAATTCAACAATACTAATAACAAGTATCGTTGTGATGTGTAAATAATAAGATTTAACAGTACAACTTATACAATTATTAAATAAAATTAAAGCCAAACGTGTAAATATTATTTATTATTTAAAGTTTTTATTTATAAGTCAAATATTTAAACATCGTTTATTATAATAAAACAAGACCAACGTAATACGCCCAAAGTTTTGTAAATGGAGTAAATATAAATAGGTAGTAAATGATGGCAAAAATAAAAGACTTACATTATATTTTTAGGGCCACAAACAAAAGGAATTGTTTAATTAAAACACATACCTATAACAAAAATTATAGTTTAAAAAACGTTTTGATAATCATTTGATAATATTATGATTGGCGCTATGACAACGACAATATTTTTTGAGAATTTGGCAATAGTATGACAATGGCCGTTGGAAACTATGGAAACTACAGAAAAATTCTGATTTAATGCCATCTGGCAATAACTAGTAGCAACTTCTTAACCTAAAAATTAATTGCACTACCACCTAGCGCCTGAGGCTGGAACTATTTTATTTGAAATTTCCGTGGAAACGGTGGAACCGCTTTTGCTATTTCACTTTCCCGCCCCTGGGTGGACCTAAGATTTTTGATATGCTCCTTCCTTAAGCTTGATTGTCATGCATCCGTTATGCGTTGATACGATGGTCCGACGGTGCTCTGATTAGTCATAGCGTTTTCGCGCCTCTTTTCTTCCGTAAATATTTTACTTCAGCCCACTTCAGCCAGTCAACGGACCCGTTCATACGATAACGGACGTTTTGACAAATTTAATCTAACCTTAATAAAAATATAAGTAAAATAGCAAAATCGTTAGGGAAACGAAAATATAAAATGACACCAACGTATATCCGATAAACGGAGACATGAAAATGAAATAAATTTAAAAACTGCGTTATTTTCTAACCAATCAAAGTCTTTAAATTCTACCAATAAAATTAATATCGTATCATCGTATCGTCGGATAACGGATACATGAAAATCAAGCTTTCAATCATTTTTTTCTTCTTATTCAAAGATTACATGTATTATGGCCTCTAAAAAAAGTAGGAAGTTGGGAAAATTGCTTGTCCTCCCCCCCAAAAAAAAAGTTCTAGCGTCACCACTGATGTTGCCATCTCCTACGTTATCGACATTATGCATATTTTTCTGTTGATAAGTTTACTGTAATTTTACGTTCCTATACAGGGTGTCCCAAAGATCTCGCCAAGGATAAAATTGCAAGTATTTTATCACACCCATGAGTTTTTTTGCGAAAAAAATATGTTGAAGATTTTATATTTTTCTTCACATTTTCAATTTGGACCGGCGGCGCGGGCGGCGGCGTATTAACTCATGATTTAAATATTCCAAGATTGTCAATCTTCCGCCAAGACGCATAGTCTACTCTCACCGATGAGTCCAATGATACTGAATAAATCAAATATTTTTTCACCTTCATCTGCCTTTTAGAATTCTTTGAATCAGAGTCCCGTATTATTTATGTAAATAGTCAACGTTTGACCTATATTTAAACAGACCAGCTGGTTGAATTCTAGGTTATCCAATTCATTTGAGATTTTACTCAAAATAGTAAACCTCTAAAAAAACCAAAAAAATAGACAAATGTAAGATACTGTAAAATACTTTTCTTTTAAACGTCACAAAAGTATTAATTTTTGCGACGTGATCAACAATATAAAAAAGTCATTTTAACGCCTAGGCAAAGAGTAGATAAGACAAGAGACGACAGTTCGCGCGGTACCTTTCATGTTTGAGTGGTGGGGAGAGTGACCTCGTCTCGCTTGTCCCTTTAAATTCTCGTAACTTTTTCGCGGGAAATTTGAAATAGACTATTATTAAAACTTGCCTGTATAGCTTATAAATAGCTGGGTATGGTAAACTGTATGGGTAAAGAAATAAATAGAAACGAAAAAAAATGAGTTTTCTAAATATTATATAAAATAAATTATAATTAGAAACATATTTGTCGGGGAATAAAGATAATAAAAGCAATATTTTGAATATCGTTGGTAAACAAGATAAAGTGACTAAGTCGATTTGTAAGAAGTGTTTTATTTACGTGTATTTTTTTTACATATGGACTTGAACAAGTGTAATATTACAATGAACACACAATAGATCTATAAGGTCGCGGCCCCTCCATTCTACAATATCACAATGTGGAGTTTATGTACAAAAAAACAGAGTTGCTCAATTTTTTTTGTAAAAATATATTACAAGCTTCTAACCATGTCTTCGATCTATGGATTACATTTAGTTTAATAACATAATTATATAGTATATTTCTATAAAAATACTTTTCAGGATCCTTTGGAAACGAGTGAAATATTATGTTTGTCGAAGAATAAGACCTATTTTTGCAGTCTTTATAAGCACACACATTGCCACCATCTCGTGTTTTCCTGCTACTCGTGTCCTGTTCAGTATTCAT